AGCCCAGAGGTGTGCAAATCCAAACAAAGTAGTTATTGGGAAAAGACATTTGTCAGGTTTTACATTAAAAGCCAAGGCCTGTCACCTTAACTTGCCTTCCAGTCACTGAAAAACAAAATAAATCACTACACAGAACAAGTTGGAGAATCCATATGTTGTTCATGTGGATTTAAAATCAGGAAACATCTGCCGTGGCCTCATTTATCAATTAGAAGCAGATCCAAGAGTCTCCTCCTCTGTTCGGCTCAAAGACACCCTCAGTCTCCACGAATGAGCGCCGGAATAATTCACCAAAAGCGAGAAACGATACCTTGTCTGGTGCCACCGCGCCTGTAGCTCTGACCAGCTGGAATGGTTTGTGAAGGGAAAAGATGAGACTGAACCTCCACGAAAACGGGCCAAAAATGTATTTCCAACAGTGTCTTCAGGGTGTCTTCGTGGCTTGCTGAGATAAACAAGCGAGCGAGGAGCCAATAAAAGTTGGTGTTTTTTTTTAATCTACAGTTTATGTGATGGAGGAAAATGATGTTTGTTTTTAAATAAGCTGAGCTGCTCATTAACTCGGCCTCTTCGTGTCTGTGTTACTGGGACTCATAACAGAAGAATTACCCAGAGAAGAATCATGTTTGCATAATTAATACGAATTCTAGCAGTTTTATTTTCGAGGAGCAGAGCCAGAAAACCAAACGCATCGTTCACTGACCTGTTGCGGTGTTTCAGTTAGTTGTTCAAAGCTGCTCAGAGTTGTAACGCACATGGCAGGGATCTTCAGTTCATGTGAAGAAGAGAAAAGATGTAAAACACATATGAGAGTTTTAATTTGATGCATTTACGTGTTTCGTACAAAGGACTATCTGACAGCCTCCCACTGGCTTTGTCCACGTCTGCAAACCAGTCGATGCAGGTGACTCATGAGTTCTAAAGCCTCTCAGTGCTGGACTGATTGATAGTAATTCTTCTGAGGTGTCAATCAAATATTCCATGTAAGTACTGCTGTTTCAGTTCTGTCTTTGTCAGATTTGAAAGACAACTTTGTGAAAGCAGCAGTTATGAACTACAGTGCTGACAAAAAATATGTACGATTTCTTAAAGAGTTCATTTTTAGACTCATTTGTATGAAGGTTGCAGACTTGTAAGACACGTCTGGAGCACTTCCTGAAAAATCACACAAACCCCAAATTGGCATACAGTGCTAATGGTAAAGTAGACATATTGCACTTTTAAATCCTTCCTTTTCCTATTTAAATCATTCAGTTAGGGTCTTTATAAAGAGGAACTACAATGAATTCCTTCTTATTATAACTTTACCAGCTTTAACCCCATTTCTGACGCATGCCTCAAAGCAGCTTGCTTTGTTACTGCAAGACGCTTCAAGCCCCGCCCCCCTCCGGCTTCCAGACCAGTCCTCTCCGGCTTGAGAGAGGGGGTTAGCATTTTCTAGCTTGTAGAAACATTTTATTTACAATTTAATTAAAATATATCAACAAGGGAAGACTTGTCCATCCAGTCTTACATGTTGGAGCCAGCCTGACCCAGAACCAGAAGAGAATGAAGACGAAAAAATAATTGGTAATTCCATACCTAATTTAGCAATTCCATCTCAGATAATTTGACGTAATGGCACAATAAAATGTAATGGAAAATAGAGAAAACCAAACAGAATATAAAGATGTATTTGAAGAACCAGGAGACTAAATTCAACTTTTCTGCACTACTAGAGACTCTAAGTACACAACACAATGTATTTAACAGCTAAAAAAGTGGATTTTGTATGACAGGTTCCCTTTAAACAAGTACACAAGCTCACACTCACTTAAAAACTTGTCTCCTCCGAGCTAGCTATATGCTAACTAATTAGCTTCAGTACATGATTGTGTAGGCTTAAGTTAGAGACTCATAAAACAAATTTATAAATAATTTTTTTGTTCTGACTATAAAAGTAAAACAACTGAAACTACCCTTAAAAACGAGGAGCTAGGCTAACTTTCTTACCACTCTCTTCCTACACTTGTGGTCATGATGGATAGTTCAATGACTATGCAAAACGTGGGATTCAACATTTTTAAGTATTTTTCCCACCACAACTTTTATTTTATTCAAAACATAAAAATGATACTTTTACTTTTTCACATTAAAATTGAATACCTAATTACAAGCTAATGAGTACCAAAACACATCATGAAATGAATTGTTTCTCCACTCTTAAAAAATTAAATAAATATTGAATTTAATTTAATCAAGTGATGTTAACTTATAAAGAAATTTACTCAACTTGGTCCCAGAGCCATTTTGTCATACCACTAGTTCCCCCTCAGTCAAACATAATGATGATAATTCACCAAAACTATAATGTATTACAAATGATTATTAATTGAAAATTATTTATATAACCCCCTAGAATGTTTAATTCTCAGGCATTTCATTTTTTTCCAACTCAAATTAAACATAAAGATAAAAATGTTGCCTTGAAAGTAAATAAGTAATTAAATACATAAACTAGGTAACGGCAGGTGCAGAAAACAGCAGCGTCCAAAATACATTGTATTGTCCAAAATACGTCAGAAACTCACCCAAATGAGCAAATTCCACGAGATTCCACGTTTTATACTGGATTCCATTTTGTGTCCTGAAAGTGCTGGAATGTTTCAGGACCTTGGACAGTGTGAAGGGTCGAAGAAACTGTCCAAGGTCCTGAAAGTGCTGGACTGCTTTAGTACCTTGGACAGTGTGAAGGGCTGAAGGAACTGTTCAAGTTCCTGAAAGTGCTGGAATGTTTCAGGACCCTGGACAGTGTGAAGGGCTGAAGGAACTGTCCAAGGTTCTGAAAGTGCTGGAATGTTTCAGGACCTTGGACAGTGTGACGGGTTGAATGAACTGTCCAAGGTCGTAAAAGTGCTGGAATGTTTCAGGACCTTGGACAGTGTGAAGGGCCGAAGGAACTGTCCAAGGTCCTGAAAATGCTGGAATGTTTCAGAAATTTAGACCAGTGGTTTCCAAACTTTTTAGACTTGTGCACCCCCTGAGACATTTTGTCATACTACTAATAGTATGACAGTCAAACGTAATGATGATTCTCCAAAACTATAATGTATCACAACTGATTATTAAATCATAAATGGAAAAAAACTTATAGAGTGCTATATCAAGCCCCTCTGGACGCCAAAGTGCTTTACATTTACAGACATTCACCCACTCACACACACATTCACACACTGATGATGGCAAACTACATTGTAGCCACAGCTGCCCTGGGGTGCACTGACAGAGGTGGGGCTGCCATGCACCGGTGCCACCATCAGTAGGCAAGGCAGGTGAAGTGTGTTACCCAAGGACACAACGACTGAAACGGCTGGACGGGGGATCGAACCGGTGACCAGGACGACTTCCTTAACAACTCCACCACAGCCGTCCACAGGGGTATACATGTACCCCTGGTTGGGAATCATTGGTTTAGTGGAACCAGTTTGATTAAGTAAATACAACAGTTAATTTCTTAGTGCCTGTAAAAGTATTTTTACTTTCCCGATTATTGTGAGCAGTTTAATGATTTACCTAATTATTTTTATTTAAGGTAACAAAGTATTAGTTTTTTGTTACTTTACATCTCTCTGACCAGGATTTAGTAAGCAGATTTCTAGGTGTAATCCTTCATCATAACCAGCTGAAATAACAAATTATTCTCTTGATGTGATTTATTACTTGTTTTAATTGGATAAATCTGCAAAAGGAGCTCTGATTTCTCCTCCTTCACACCGTGCTCAGACTGAAGCAGCCATGACATGTTGAGTGATTAGTGTGTTAGGAATGGGCTTCATGTTCAGCCAGTTGTTTGTACAGATAAAATAAAATTGTACCAAACAAACAAAGGAGACTTAGAGTCAAACAATCCTCACAGCAAACATGTTTTCTCAGGATGAAGTTTTAAAAGTTTAATGCTGCCAAACACACAAGACCTTGGAGCTTCTTATTTGAACCAGAAAGCACAATCTTTCTGTTTTTATTTGATGTAGTTCAGACTGTAAACACTGTTGATTCCTGTAGAATATAGACTCATACTTCACCTAAACATGATTTCTTTTTCCATTCTGTATAGGAGCAACATTATTTTTGATTGCTCATCCGTTAGTCACAAATTAGATATTCCATTTGTATAAATCTTTACTGATGCTAGATTTGTTCCTACTTAAATCAAATACAAGTTTAATATAGGTCTAAAGGCCATTATTAAACCCTTTAGAAAATTAGAGAGAAAATTTTAAAATATTTGAAAGAGACGTACTCAGGATTCCCCCCCCCCCCGGAAAGATTCAGCTATTAATGATAAAAACAAGCACTTTTTTGCATTAACAAGAGATGTTTATGTATATATGATGACACGTTTTTGTGAGTTCACATCTGTACGCAGGGGTGGAGCCAGAGGGGTGGCCAGGGTGGCAAGTGCAAGTTTATATGTATATATATATATATATATATATATATAAATGTGTGATCATACTCAGCTAGTCCACAACAAATTTCATTTTAATAAGTATTAAAATTTCTGAATTACAGCCTTTTAAATTTAGCTGTGGTGGCCATCTTGAATTTTTGATTAGCATTTAGGATTTATAAAGATTCTTTTGGACTATGTTTTTTATTATTCTTAGCTATAATCACAGAAAATATCAGCTCAATCTTTCTTAAAACAGCTGACTTAAAGCCACTTAGAATTGGGTATTGTGGACATATTGAATTTCAAAATCCAGAGGGCTTTTATATTTATACGTGCCCCATAAAAACATCTCGGCCACCCCTGTTCCACCCTTGCAAAAATAAAATCTAGCTCCGCCCCTGTTTGTATCGTCACCTCTGCAGCAAATCAAATGGAACTTGTCCCACATCACCCACCCAAATCAAGGCAGACTGCTTCAGTTTCACATTTATTTATGATAAAAACCATAAATCTAAAGCTTAAAAATGTAAAACAACTTTAAACAAACATAAAAAAACAAGTCAAGAGCTTTAACTTCTCAATATGTCCCGTTTGCTTTAAGACCAGCTGTATTTGAGTCAAAACTCTCCAAAAATATCATTTTGTTTTGTGCCAAGATGCAACAGTTTGCCTCTTATTATCCATGAACATTTGAAATCTTTTCTAAAACTTGCACTCTGACATTCCTACAGCCTTTACATTGCATTAATTTCTCTGGTGGAGTCACAGGCTTGTGAAATTACATAAATAAGCTATAAACTTGGATAGAGTCCATTCATCACCAGTGTAGCGTCAAAACTAAAACTAAGTTAAAACTGTGGTTGTAGCTCCTCTTCCCTCCAGCAGGTGTCGCCCTAATGTCGTCTCTCCACTCAGACATGAGGCGAGGCACAGATCCATCATCCAATGTTTAGATCTGTAGATACATTTATATTTATATATATATGTATATCTTTTTCTTTACAATGGATTTTCTCTGTCATCCGAGATGACCCCTCCAAAATAAAAAAAGCGCACAATACAGTCAACAAACCAAAACCTATAGAACATATGATTGTCACTTACTGCGAGTCACAGAAAAGTACGTATACTGCGAATAAATAATCTACAGAAATATTTACAATATGCACAACAAGAATTCAAGGAAGTGCAAATAAAGCTTTGAATCCCCGAACAGGAAATAAGGTTAAGCAGACGTGGTTCCCGACATGAAGCAACAGTCGTGGTAAAAAGTCTTCAGATTTACAGGACATGTAGTAACATTTAAAGACTTTCAAACAGTGAGCTGAGCAAAAACAGAAATCAGAAAGCAAAAACAAACGGACACGCTGAATTATGTACAGCCGAGCTCATTCCGTGGAAAAGCCGGAGAGCGTTTGATGCTCGTCGTCCAGCGAGGATCAAGGCAACAACCAACGAGACGACGGGCAGCTGAGAGGATGAGGACAGGAAGAAAGAGGGATCCAGGAGAAGAAAGAACTTGTTGTGCTCCCGTTGACTTCTCAAGCCAGAAAAACTCATCTCTGTACAACTCCTGCTACCTTCCCCCCACCCCACGTCTAGGCCATGAAGGAGTGGTGGGTGGGGGGGTCAAAGGGGGCTGCAAAGGGTCAAGTGTGTTATCTGTTGGCCCCTGTTGGCTCTGTAACACACTCATTTTAACATAATGCACACATGTGAGCTGCAGTCTTTTGTACCGCCTCCACGCTTGTCATTTCTGCAGGAGCTCCACGTTACCCACAGTTCAAGTACTCCAGAGCCACTTCATAACAGAACTTGTACTGGTCCTGGGAGAAGAAGAGCAAAAACATATGGGAGGTCAGTCTGGGGTCAATTCAATGTGTGTAAAAAAACAAAAAATAACATAGACAGATTAACCAAAGTTAGAAATGTTCTAACCAGGGGCGGAGCTAGACTTTTTTGAAAGGGTGGCACTGGGGTGCCCAAAATGATTAAATTGCTTAAAAAAATATTGAGCTGAAATTTTATGTGAAGATAACTAAAAATAATAAAAAAACATGCTGAATGCTAGTCACAACTTATCATTAAGTCATTTTTAGTGTCTTTATAAATCCTAAATGCTAATCAGAAATTCAAGATGGCCTCTACAGCTAACTTTAAAAAAACTATAATTTAGCCATTTTAAGACTTATTAAAATTAAATTTGTTGAGGAGTAGCTTAACATGATCACGTTGATTACTGATGCTAATCCCAAATTAAGCTAACTCCTGATGTCAATGCTAATTTCACAAAGGCTATAGCCTTTGGGGTTAGCTTAATTTCAAATTAAATTAAAATTCAGACATTTTTAAAGATACACGGTTAAAAGTATATAAATAGTACACAAATATCAGAAAACAATCTTTAAGAAAATCTAAATGCAAATACAAAATTTAAGATCCACACCCAGTTGACAATTATCTGGGGGTGGCCAATCAGTGGGGGCTCTACTGAAGTTTTTGTTGCAAAAGTTTTATTCTAGCCAAAGTTTTGCCAAAAGAGTTTCCAAAATCCTGCACTGCCACGTGTCAGCATAACAAATTATCCACTTAGTTAAAAAATGTGGCATTAGACAAATAGAAAACACACTTTTCCTCCTGCAAATTAAAAATACTCAGATGAAACACAGTTCATTTGAATCTGCTCCGGAGCCGAGTGGTTTCTTTATCATTGGTTCTTTCCTGTGTCCTTGCTCAGGCTATCAACTTCATTGTGAGATTTTTAAATCCTTAAAACGAGATGGAATTTTTGACAACTTGAAGAGCTTTTGAATATAACGCTAGCCTAAATAATACAAGAGCAACATCTCTTTTTAAAATCGAGGTGAAGTTAAAAAGCACGAGGAGGAACAAATGCTCGTGTCACACCTTTAAAATTTCAGGTATCTTCAAAAAAAAAGAAGCTTTTTGAAAACCAACCTTTTTAGAATAACTCAGTTTTGTTTAACAGCCAAGCAAAATGTTTTACAAAAAAAATTGATGATTTTTTAAATAACAATTAGACAGTTAAGATGGGTGTCCTTCAACACATCTGTGCCAAAAAAAGTTTGATGTTGGGGAAAAAAAAATCTAAATCTATTAATCAAACTTTAGAGAAAAATAAACTTTCAAAAGGTCACAGAAACAAAACATGAAAGGGTTAATGTGAATAAATACAATTTTCACATTATTATTTAAAGCAAGGCTATTCAAGTAAATTGCTCAGGGGGGCACAGTTACTTAAAATCAACAGCTCAGGAGCCAGACATCCATGTGGGGTGGGGGTTCCCCCATAATGTAGGGGGAACACTGCATAATGTAAAACAAGTACGATTATCTTCTACCTTTTAAATTTGTTTTATATTGTTGCATTGAACCATAAATTAAAAATGTACAATTGTTTTAAAATATATTGTTTAAAATAAATTAAGTAAAAAAAAAATTGATTCAATGGGGTGTCAGGTGGAGGTCGCCTGCGGGCCGGATGTGGCCTGCGGGCCACCAGTTGTTATTCAAAAAGACTTATAACATTAAAATAAAATAAAAGAAAAAAACAAGAAACCACAATATTTGCCTTGTTTGATCTGTAACACTCAAATCATGTGTTGGGGATGACTCTCAGCTACTATAACATCAAAATTTAGCTAAATATTTTTAAAATTCTCTGAGTTAGAGCCATTTTTAGGCTTGTTTATGTTGATAAGCTGTGGTGTCAATCTTGAATTAAGTTGACTCTAAAAGTTAATAGGTTGTAGATGCACATGTAGTGTTTTTTTTATCTGAGAGTTTTACTAAAATCCATTCAACGGTTCATGCAAACTTTTGCCAACAGACATATTTAACTCCAACATTTAAAACCAGTGTTTTAAACAGGGTTGCAGTCTGTTAGTGCTTGGGTTATGTGTTTGAGAAGACTCTCGGCAACTACCACACAAAGTTTCAGCTTAATATCTGTAAAACTGATTGCATTATAACCATTTTTGTGTTTGCTGTAATGCATTAGATGTGGTGGCCATCTTGATTCAGGTTAACTTCAAAATGCAATCAGCCGTAGATGCAGGTCCAGTGATTGTTTTCTGAGAGTTTCATTAAAAGCTGCCCTGTGATTTATGAGATATTTTGCTAACAGACGCCTGTACACAGAGTTACACAATTCCTCAGCCAAAAAAAAAAAAAAGAAACTTGCATTAAATCTATTGCCTTGTTAAGATGAAATGGGTAAAGTAAAACTCTTTATTAATACAGTTTTTAATAAAAAGAGTTGAGCCGTTGCAGTGGTCCTTACCAGCAGGTCCACCATGTTGGGCTTGTTGTTCCTCAGTGTTTTGACTGCATGAAAAACATCCACAGAGTGCTGGTGCTGAAGCATCTCACACACGATGCTGATGGCGCAGAACGTCCCGCTGCGGCCCCCTCCGTTTCTGCAACAACCAGGCCACAGAACAGTTCAAACAGAGCTGAAGCAGTGCAGAGTTGTTTATTTATATATTATTTTCTGCAGTAACCGTTTTCAGTCAGTAGGTGGAGCTGTTTCATTTTTTTTAAAACTCCCGGACGGAGCGAGGTTCCTGTTGAGAACTTACAGACAGTGGACCACGGTGCGGCCCTCGCCCCCGTCGTACTCCTCCTGCCACTTGTCCACCTGTCGGATGAGTTTGAGGAAGGAGCGCTTGGACATGGGCGTGTCCCTGTACATGGGCCAGCCCAGGAACTGGAACTGCTGCACCATCCGGTAACCGTCCTGAGGCTGGGAGGGACAAGGACAAACCGGCTATCACAGGTTATCACACACCTTGGAGGAGGGGGCGGGGGAAGGGGGTGCAGACTGTCTCAGCTCAGCTGGGACCGGACAAAGATGGATAACGGACAAAAAACAGTCACTCTGGAGTTTATTGGACAAGATAAGAGCGGGTGATGGATGAGTCCAGCTGAAGCCGGAGACACTTGTCTCCAGTTATCAATCAGTTGCTCCTGTCAGTGATCATATGTGATTAAACCATCATGCACTTAACGTGTCGCCTGTCAGAGGACGTTACGGCGCGTTAATAAGAGGAGGACACTGTTGGGATAAAGAGCTTACGCAAGTGACTGCAGGTGACGCCCGTGTGGACCGGGACCCCTTCTGTTCATGGAGGTTTAAAGACGCAAAGTTAAAAGGCTCAAAATGGCAATTTTGGCAAAGTTTGCTACTTTGAAAGCAAATAGGCCTTTTTGTAATTCTTCTTTACAGATTTTATCAGGTCAGTTGGCTGTAGAGGTCATCTAGAGTCAGGTTTAGTACAAAGGTTCTTCACCTGTAGATGCCGATCCAATCCCGATTTAAACTGTTTTTTGACGGATCATGAATAACCGCCCCCTTTTTAAGATAGTTAGATAAATTAGCTCCTTTTTTGTCATTGTACAGAGCACAATGAAACGGCAGCTCAGAACACTCATTCAGAAGAAGACAGAACATAACAAACATGGGAGAACAGGCACTCTGGGTCATGCAGTCACTGAACCTGCACAGAGCAAGGATCATCTTCATGAAAACATCCTGAGGAGGTGCAACCCTTAGCAGAAAAATGATGACATTAATATAATCTGTTTAAGTTTGTTTTATGATTTATAATTGAGTCTTAATATTCTAATGTTTTACTTTTTTAAACTGTTTTAATTTCATGTTGCTAAAAGCCCATCTAGGGACTAGCATTGCAGATTAGCCTGGGCTACAAATGTTTTAGTGTATGGTAATTCTAATAAACAATGACTGAAATGATTACTTTTAAAAAAGTTTCATTACATTCCATTAATGCAAAGTATAAAGCAAAGATGTCATATGATCGGTCAGTGATTAGATAACTGGGGATCAGTTTCAGCAGTGGTGGTCTGTCAGGGTCAGCAAAGCCTTCTCTGCTAGCCTAAACAATCAGAATCAGTAGCTGACATGATAGTATTTTTTTATTTATTATTATTATTTTTAAATATCTGTTCTCTTCCTCTCATTGTTTTTCACCTGGTTGCGCAGCTTCCAGTAGCTTGTATTAATTTAGAGCTTTGAACCAATCATATTTGACCATCTGTTGCTAGGGTAAAAGAAATCTGCCTCAAGATTCAGAACAAAGAGTGAAGGCAGCTGGAGGTTCAAACAACCAATCAGATGTTGAGCTGGCGACACCACAGCCTGCTATCTGGCGTTCAACGTCAGCATTTTCACATTGCTTGATTGGATCATCAGAGCGCTTCAGTCAGAACCAGGAAACTGGATTTCTGTAGCGTCTCGCACGCTAAACACTGAGCGGACGTTCTCAGAAAATGAAAACTTAGAACAGACTGGACTTTCAGCGTTAGCTTCCATGTCGGTGACAGAAAAGGATGCCGTGACGACACAGGAAATGAACTCTTCTTGAGGGGAAAAAAGGAGTAAAATATATTTTTATTCAAATCTTTATTTTGTTGTCAGTTTATTATGTAGACGTAAGATGTCAAACCAAGGATTACTTTCTTGTGAAGTTAACTAAAATCTATTCAGTGATTTATGTGAACGCTACGCACAAACACACACGTTTGTTCTTCTATCCTCCTGGGGACTTTGCATTGACTTCCATTCATTTATCGGTTATTTCTGACCCCTTATCTTAAACCCAACCCCTGGACCCACCAACTGTCCCCATTAGGTCAGTATGATGATAATAGTTGAAACTTTTTTTACATATTTTTTTGCTTTTTGGTGTAAAAATAATTCTAATTATAAATTAACTTTGGTGCTTTTAAGATTATTTACGCAGCATGAGGTAAAACAAACTGCACTCAAGCCTTGATCTTTAAGCTCAAAACGTCAGGAATGTCTCATCTGAAGCAGATTTTTAACATTTTTGTACCTGAAAAAGCGTCTTATTTTGATAGACCCCAAAGGACCTGCAAGCTTTGTTTTAAAAAAACAATCCATGTTGGCTAGATACCACACGGAAATGTGTTTTTCCTCTAAATTTGGTGAAGAAAAAAAAAACTTTTAAGGGTTCACACAAATTGCTGTGAAACTCTGATTTCTCCCTTTCCAACTACAGGTGAAAATTGATCAAGCTGTCTGAAAGATTTGGGGGCAATCACATCTCGGTCCAATCACGGGTGCAGTTGTGTCGTTAAAGAAGGAAAGAAAGAGTCGGCACAGCTTGAGCGGACAGGCCGGCACACGTGTGGGACGTGTGAGGTAGAGGTCGAGGGAGCAGCGGGTTGTTGTGATCACAGCCGGGGGGCAGGAGGAGGGCAAGTTGCACATAAAGAGCAGAACGTGGCGGCGGTTTGGAGCCGTACCCGAGCTGCGTTGTAGATCCGAAATATTCTGCTGATGATGTCCTCCTCCAGGTCGGCGGAGACAAACTCCACCTGGATGGGCCCGTGGCGGTGGACTCCATTTTCTGGCCAGTACTGTGGACACAGCTGGCCAAAATACACACAAACATACACACAAAAACACAAATTCTAAGGTGAGTTTTAGATTCATAAACAACAAAATCTCCACGATTTTAAACCCTTGTTTTGTGCTCAAACAGTTAAAAACAAACTAAAAGCCTGAAAGAATTTGTGTTTTTTTTAAAGAGATTCAATAAAATGTTGATTATTTTTATTAAATTAAATTAAACTGGTTTTTGATAAACAGATTCCAAATATGAGAGCTTTTTACTAATAAGTTGAGCTTTTATTTCAAAAGGGAAGCTTAAATCTTTTACAAACCATCACTGACTTTTTTTCTCCTCTGAAAGAAAAACATTCTTTGTTCAGTTTTTATGCAAAAGTTTCTTAATTTCTTTTAATCAGACCAGTTATCTGTCATCAAGTCATTTCTTGAAAAGTTTTTGTCAAATTAGATTAATCTTTAGCAAAACTGTGAGACAATTAGGCCTATAGATGTTTTTACCTTTTCAATAAAAAAAAAACACTTTGAACTCATGCTGCATTTAGTGAACCTTGGAATTTGTAAATTCAACAGTTTTAAAAAAAATCTTTGTTCATACTTTTTACTGTAATACAAAGTATAAATTAATAAAAGCTCTATATTATTCCCATTTTCTGACATAAATGAACCAATAAAGCTCCGGCAGTGCTGATTGGAGTTTTTTTCCTGACTTAAAACTTCTCACTGCCGCTCTGCGTTTTTCTTTCACCAGACGAAAACAAATTTCAGATTTCTTTTTTGCTCCTGACTGCACCGATAACAGAAGCTGAGTCTGACACAACAAAAATAAATTGTTATTATTTTTTAAAACCAGCTGTTCACATCATCATCATCAGCCACTAAAAATGTAAAGAAAAACAGAAACAAGTGCACCCGAAGTGAAGCTCGGGGCTTATAAAATTAATATGCGAGTTTTACTGGCAAGCTGTTACCTTTCTCAGAGTTTGTATCTGGAGTTTACTTTTTATTTTTAATTTTTTTATCTAACCAACCTGAACCAAGAAGAAGGCATAAATAAAGACAGTTGCAGGTAGAAAAAAACAAAAACAAAAACAAAAAAAGATAAATTATCTTAATTTCACACACTCAGGAATCTCATTTGTGGTTTTTTGCCACTTTCCTGATTGGAAATCACTAACTGGGACTTTTAGAAATCAAGAAAAAAAAAAAAAACTCAATGTTTCACTTAAACTTGGAATGATTTGCAAAAATCATCTTTGCAGCTCATTTTCTGGCGATAGGAAACACATAACAGCGTTTTCACTGTTCTTTACCTGCATTTTCCTCTTTTTTTCTTTAAAGTCTTTCTTATTTTTACATGACTTAAAACTGAGCAGTTTTGTGATTTTTTTTTGTCCTCTATGTAGACTTTGGTCAAAACCCTTTTGTTTTAAACTTGCTTTGAAAAATAAAAAACGACTCATTTTAGGCAGACGCTGCCGAGTAAAGAAGGTTTAAAACCCATCTAGCGAAAAGATAAACATAAAATCAGTGTTTCACGGCTAAACGTTGCACTCAGATTTGACATTTTTCTGCTGCAATCTCATCCAAGCTCACTGAACACATCAGGGTTTCACACAAAGGACTGTATGATGCAGCTTCCTACATGAGCCGAGTGTGAACTTGTTTCTTTGTGCTTTCTGTGAAACAGTTATTAGATCCTGTTTTCCTTAGTTTCGTCCTGCTGCATTCCGCTGTTGATCTGCTCACTGAAATCTAACTTTTTGAGCAAGAGGACAGTGCCGCTCAGCCATCAGGTAAAAAAAAAAACCTGCTGTAAGTAAAGCGATCGAGTCAATAAATATTGACTGCTTGTAGTTTTTAAAACGGAGGTTAAATTGTACTAAACGGTGTATTTGGCCACAATCACAAAAGCCAGAACCCAACAAGATGAATCTTTTTATAATTCTGAACCCGTGACAATGCAGCTCTTAAAAACACAGATTATTTTTTTAATTCATCTCTTTTTTGCATTCACAGTAACAGGTGGACAGAAAAAAAAAGCATTTAAAAATGACCTTGAATTTTGCACAAGCGGCCAAAAATACAATAATAAATTCACGCAAAATAGCAATAATTAGAAAAAAGTTCAAAACGCAGGTTGTTAAAAGTGTCGATTCTTCTGAAATCAAAGAAATGCAAACCTTCTGAGGAAAACAATAAAAGAAACGCTAAATCCCTTCGCTCTGCAGGTGAGGAAGCTCAGTTAAAAACATGCACCTGTGGAGCGCCTCGCTGGCCTCGCAGCTCGATTTGCTCAGAGCGCACAACACAAGAATATATATATATATAAAAAACAAAACTACCTCAGTAGAATTTAAATGAACAAGCCAGGAACTCTGAGCAGAGACGGACATCCAAACATGCACTCGCTTTATTCCTCTAACGCACAAAAGCTCAAACGCGTACAGAGTTTGTGTGGCAGTTTAAGAGCCTCTTTGGAGCTGCCTTTAAGAACCTGCCAGAACCTGACAAATTTAACAGATGCAAAAAACAAAGATGTGGATAGAGCGGATCGCAAACCTCCATCTCCCTCTCCTCCATCTGCACGCCCTGCTTCCACTCCCACCTGTGCTTCCTCCTTGGCTGCCTGACGGGCCGGCTACAGTGAGAATAATGAATGAAAGGCCCTTTCTATCCAGCCAGTCAGTCAGTCTCCTAGGGAAAGGGGATTTGGCTGTCGGGGAGGGGGGCAGCCTCAGCTTCAGGCTTTGATCCCCGGGTGTTATGACAGAGCCTCAGGCTGAGAAATCTGGAAAGCCTCATCCAGAGGCCTCCTTCCACTTTCACGGCATCCTCTCTGCAGCATCTCCAACATTTCAAACGTACTCTGTGTACATACAAATATATAGTGTTTCCTACAAAAACACATCTGTGCGTTTCCTCCCAGAGTTTGCACGCAGTCGCGATGAGCGGCCTACTTTTTAGTCGACTTGTTACTCAACTTCCCGCCCTGTTCCCTGCTGGGTCTGTGTGTGTCTGAGCTCGTGCATCAGGGCCGGTTTACCTGAGCCGGGTCGACATCATTGAGCATCACTATGGACGTGCAGTGGTAGTCCAGCACCAATCTCCAAAAATCCTTCACTGTGTTCGGCAGTGGGTGCTGGGTCACTATGAATGCAGAGGGCTGCTTGTAGCTCTGGAGGAGGAAGAGAAGAGGAAAAAAGCAGCAAAGGCAATGAATAAATAAATAAATAAATAAATAAATAAATAAATAAATAAATAAATAAATAAATAAATAAATCGTGATGCAGAACTTTTTTAACAGGGTTTCCATCCTCTAAAGGAAATTTCCTCTTGGTGCAGATTACATTGGTGTAACTGACTTTAAAGTGAATCTCTGGCTTTTTGGGGGCGACTAAGGCAAACTTGAACCTGAAAAAAAATCACCTGCTCTGTTCTGCAAGGAGCCAAAAAAAAGAACAATTTACTTGTCCATGTGTTTATTCAGGCACGTGTCAAACTCAGGGCCCACAGGCCAGTTGTGGTCCACCACAGCCTTTTATGTGGCCCGTGAGAACTAGATGTATTAATGTCGTAAACTATGCCTGCATCGACCATAAACTCCATCTCCCATAATGCATGTCGATTATTTTAGCCATGAAATGACAGCATCAGGGCACAGGGTTCAAAAGTAGCAGGTTGTCGGCAAAATTCTCCATGTAAAATCTATATTTTGCTTGTACTTTTGGGATTTTCCCACTTACAAGTCATAAATATAAACCGGAACGCCCCTATGGTGGGAATTTCCTGTCAAAAAGTGGGAGAGTTCAGAAATCAAGATGGCAGCTTATTACCACAACTCAACAAAGAGTAAAACTATTTTTACTTTTGTTTTTATTAGTATTCCTGTATTTTAGTCATACACATTTTCAGTGTTTTTAAGAGGACGTATTAAATCGCTGATTCTGTGCAGGAAATACCAGGTAGAGCTCAGTTATTGTTTGTTAGCGGTGCTCAGACGCAGTGATGAGATGAGGAATGAAATGTCGAAGTTAATTCCATTTGACCCTTTAATGCTAAAGTGGCCCTAATTGAAAATAAGTTTGACACGTGTTGAAGAGATAATTCAGTTTTTTATAAAGTCGTATGCAGTTAGTGTCTTAAATATGGTAATCAGAAAATTTTCAATGGGAAAATTGTATTGGATCTAACCAATAGTTGGCGTTTGTCTGTTGCGGCTTCAATTTCTGTTTTCTGGTCTAGTCTGCATTTATAATACATCTCTATGGTCAATCAAACCTGAATGCTGACAAAGAAAATTTAAAATGTATTAAAATATAAAAGTATGCAAACAAAAACTCTTCCAACTTATTATTTGTTTACTGTTTTGTTTTGAGAAAAGATACTTAAAACATCTACATTTCACAATAATGCAAAAATAGGTCAATTATTCTAAAAAGGATGTTAATTACCAATGTCACCACTCTACTCGCCTTATTGCAGTGAAAAAAGCTGCTTTTATAACTGTGATTAGTGATTGACAGAAAAAGCAACATGTGGGAAAGTTTCAGTTCACACACACGGAGAAGCTGTGGCATGTGACTCACAGTCAATTAGCTGTTTTAAATTTAGAGTGATGCAACTATATGGAAGGTTTCTCATCCCCACTGGGTTTCAGGTTTGGCGCTTACGTCCATGAGGGCAGCGTTGATGTAGTTGGAGCTCTCCCCGTCGATGGTGATCAGGAAGGGCAGGCAGCGGTCCGGCGGCAGGACGTCCATGCAGCGGTTCTTCTCGTGGTTCCGAGGCAGCAGGGCGATGCTGCAGTCCTCCACCCGCAGCGTGGGAGTCACCATGTTCAGAGTCTGTCGGGTTGGAGCAGATTACATGCTGTCATGTCGACGCAGGAAGGTAGGCACTGGGGGCTTGAGTGCGCTAATTATCTCCCACTATGGTAATTAACAATGCAATTCTTTAATCAGTTGCATTAGCGATCGCTCTGACTCCCCTGATGTTCCCGTGCTGAAACTTGGAGGGACGTTGCATTTCATTCAGCGTTCATTGCCCTGAGGGGGGGACGTGCTGTTACAAAATAATGCAAGGAAATATATTTGCTCCTGATTGGCCCAGAGGGGGGCAGTGCCATTCATGAAGAGACAACACGTTTACCGTTGTTTTCAACGTGCCCTGCATTTGAGGTGTTTGAGCTTCTACACATTTTGCACACACTGTTTACACATCTTCTTCTTTTTTCTGTAAGATATGTTTTGCACTCAGACTGCTTCTGCAAACATTGTGCAATTTTAGCAGTTTGTCAAAACATTCAGCTCATTCTGTAGATGAGGGCTTTGACATTTGATTTTAGTAACGTCAATACTTTTCAAAGTACAGAGGTTATAAAACACCATTTTGTCTTCTTATGCTACTTCTAGTTCTTCTTGTTTTCTATTTTTACTTCTTTTAGCTAATATTTTACTTATAACTTTTGGCCAACCATTTTCCTTTTTTTAATTTCTAGCTGGCCTTTTGCTATCCTAGCTTTCAGCTAATGACTGATACTTTTAGCTTTAGCTTTTAGCTTATGCTACACTTAACACGTAGTTACTGTTTTTCTATTTATAGTGCTTTTGTTACTGTTCTGCTACTTTTAACTTTCAGCTGGCAGCTTACAGCTTGCATTTGGCTTTTAGCTTTGAGCTAGTCTTTTGAAACTTTGAACCAGCATTTACTACTTTTAACTTCTAGATAACTTTTTATAGTTTAGCTAATAGCTACCATTTGGCTGTGTTTAGCCATCATTTTACCTAATTTCCCTCTGGGATCAATAAAGTATTTTTGAATTTAATTGAATTGAATTTTGCTTCTTTTAACTTTTGGAGAGTGCTTTATAGCATTTAGCTAGTGTTCTGACTTTTTAGCTACCATGTTGCTACTTTTAATTAATGGATAGTGTTTTACTGTTTATAGTTTTTAGCTAGTGTTCTGCTTTGTTTAGCTTTTAGCTAGTTGTTAAAAGTTGTTCCGAGTTGTTCTTCCATTAACCTTTTGCTTGTGTTTTTCTGCTGTTAGCCTTTAGCTAACGTTCTACTTTTTTAGCCTTTATTTAGTGCTTGGCTTCTATTTATTTTGCTTCTTTTAGCTACCTTATTGCTACTTTTAACTTCTAAGTGTTTTACTGTTTATAGTTTTTAGCTAGTTTTATTTTTCCATTAGCCTTTAGCTAGTGTTTTGTTGATGTTTTGCTAATGTTCTACTTCTTTTAGCCTTTAGTGCTTTGCTTCTTTTAGCTACCATGTTGCTACTTTTAACGTCTGACTAGTGCAGGGCTATTCAACTAAACTGCTCCGGGGGCCACAGTTACTGCAGGTCAACTGCTGAGGGGCCAAACATCCAGCAATCAAAGTTATTATGTAAATAAACAAAGTATTACAAAGATCTGTTACCTTTGAAACAGTTTATTTTGTTGTATTTATTCATGACTACAACACACAGAACCCTATGTAAGTAGTGATAATTAAACAATATCAAAAACAAAAATAACACTTTATGCCTCTTATTTCACACAATATTTTAACATCTATGACTTGCCAAATTTTTATTTTCACTTTCATAATTTTATCTTCAACTGCTTGTAATTTTTACTGTCTTGAGTGAAATGGTTTTTACCAGCTTCTAGACAAGATTCTGATGTTTCTGTAGACAAACACGTCTATGTCTAACTAACAAAACTTATAGTAATTAGAGTAGAAAACTGGGGGTTTGGGCTTAAGAGATGAATGAACCAATTGGCGGGCTGAACTTTGGTCACTCGCGGGCTGGATGTGGCCCATGGGCCGCCAATTGAATAGCCCTGCTCTTGTGTTTTACTGTTTATTGCTTTTAGCTAGTTTTTTTGCTTCTATTAGCTTGTAGCTAGTGTTCTGCTTCTTGTAGTTTGAACAACTCAATATCAGCTTCTTCATCGGACCTCAGTGAAGTCATTCAGTCTCAGACTTCATGTTTTCTCCTGATCCAGTAAATCTTACCCTGAACTCTTCCTTCAGGGGGCTGGAGTTGGTCTGCGGGTCCAGGCGGTTCATGTCGTAGTAGACGGAGCGGAGCTGGCTGGCGGGGATGGTCGTATCGCCACAAAGACACGCCTCCAAAATGGCATCATGGATAAAGACATACTGCTCCTGAAAAAAACAGCATCCTCATTGCGAATCCATCAGACATCTTAAATAAAACAGAATAAAACTTTATGTTTTTCTTTTTCACCAGCAGCAGAAAAAAACAACAAACAAACCAGTAGTTCTCTGCAGTTTTGCTAAGATTTCGCTGACCTTTTCTTGACTTTACCATGTTTTTGTTTTACCCCTTTGGCAACTTTTTATGACTAATGTTTTTCATTGTCTATGTTCAAAGGTTACATTACATATTTTAGCATTTTTTTCCCCTCTTTGCCACAAAACTGATTTACCTCGCTTTTAGAGCTAGCTTTTAAGGCCTGGGAGGGGGTATTTTCTGAAATTATCTGACCTTTTCTCAATATTCTGTGCGGATTTGATCCAACCTGAGCATACACGGTTCCACTGTTGTCACAACCATTGCAATAACCGATTCATAAAAAAAGGCTGATGTTTTAAAAAATAAATAAATAAAAAAACAGTCACTGAAGCAAAAAATACAGCCCATTTTTTTTCCTCCTGAAGTTGATCAGTCAAGCGATGGAGATGGTGACACAGCTTGATGCTTGATGCAAATCTGTTCTGAAGTGACATTTACAGCTGACACTTCCTTGTCACTTTGCACCAAAATCCACACATGTAGACAGGGGTCAGTGATTTACAGATTTAAAGGGAAACATGTTCCGCTGTTTGTTATCTGTCCAGAAGACGATGAGAGGCCTGTTGACAGAGAGTCTGAGCTGGGGTCAGCAGGTCAGCTCTCCGTCAGTCTACAGCTCCGTGGAGTTGATTTCTTGTAAACCCACAAACAAACAGAGGCAGAACACTTTCGTGCACAAATTAAAGCACGTCGCCAGTGTTGGTGTCCGGCCGCAGGCTGAGGAGCTCCGCCAAAACGAGCCTGAACACCTGCGAGGGGGAAACGCTCTGAAGGTCACTGAACTTCAGGAGGATGACTCAACGTTTGGTCTCCGGTTGCTCAAATCCCCATTCAAACGTCAGCGATGAAACATTTGCCCATTAAGCCCAATGACGCTTGTGATTTAAACAGAATTACGGGGAAACGATGCATTCAACGGCACCGTGGACATCTCCAGATGGCCGGCGTTCAGGAAAGTCATTGGGTTGTCCACACTGGAACAAAGCTGGAGTCTGAGCCAGGAATGTTTTCAGTCAGTGATTTGAAGTAAATCCTCTCTGTTCCAAGCCTCTAAACCCCTTAACTGCAGCGTGGATTGCCAAACACTCATGCATTGCATGCTCTATAACAGTTCTGTGTAGCTTATTAAATGTCTTTGGTACAAAAGTGATCACTGCAAATGTGAAAGCGGCACTTGTGATGACTTGGTAGTGCGCAATAAAATCCTGGGTCACACTTTTATGAGCTTCACAAACAAAACAAAACAAAACAAAACAAACAAAAAAAACCCAACTAATGAGAAGTTAATTTAAAATGAAATGGTTTAGGTACTTAGTAAAATACATTACTGCTTGAAAAATGCTTTTGTAGTTAAGTGTTCCAAAACCAGAATACTAATCCCATTTTACAGCAGTCTGGTTGTCTTTCTGTTGAGAAGTCAGGTGTTGCTGTCCTGATCCACAGATCAGCTGGTGGGGGTAATCCACCATAAATCAATGAACACAACCAAAAGAAGATGGTAGTTGTCCTCATTTCCAAACACAAGTAGTTGTAATTAATAGTGAAGTCAGTTGTTAGTGCTTCTATTAACACTATTATAAAGTCTTTCTTCTTGGTCATCATCATCTTTCGGCTGTTCCCTCTTTAGGGGCGAGTCATCCTCGTCCGTCTCATTTTGTCCTCAACTACCTCCATGTCTAACTGCATCCACGTATCTTCTTTTATTGAGTTAATCTAAGTACTTGGTTTGAACAAAATGTTACAGAAGTGCATCCATCATTTTAGAAGATAACTGGGATCAGCATTTGATGGTAAGTTTGTTTGAATCCTCTTTTTGACCACCTGAGTTGCTAAGTTAACCCACTTTTTTGCTGTTAAATGCATTTTGTTTTGTATTTGGAGTCTCCAGGAGCACAGAAAAGTTGGATTTAGTTTTCCTCGGTGCTGTGTAGATATCTTTATATTCTGTTCGGGTCATACTTTTCAACCCGTTCAGTTTTCTCCATTTTCTGAACTATTACGTCACAATATTTGAGACGGAACTATCAAATAATGCTTTACCAACTACCAAACGTTACTGTGCAGCTATATAATCGTAAAACCCCTCTATGAAATTAGAATGAACGGTTCTGGAAGCTGGAGGGTGTGTGTGTGTGTGTGTGTGTGTGTGTGTGTGTGTGTGTGTGTGAGAGAGTGCCTTGTTTGGGTTTAAAGAGACAGCCTCAAAATGAGTTGATCTGAGACGCACCTCAGAAAACGGGGGACAGAGGGGCTTGTGGAGTTACAATAAGGAGGAATTCAGTATTGCAGTTCCAATTTATAGACCCCAAATAGAGGATTTAAATGTAAAAAAGGATTTAAAAGCTTGATATTTCTCCTTTAATGACAAAATATTGTATGTTTTGCTTTAAATGAAAGTGCTCACTTCTATCATAGCTGAGCATTTGTTTTGAAGCAGCGGGGCTTATGTGAGGAATTAACTGTGGATATGACTTAATCCACCACTGATAGCCACAGTCTGTCAGGGTCCCACGTTCTACTGGTGGGTTTCTGCCGACAGGTTTTCAGCTCGGCTGAGAGAGCGGATCCACCGTACCTCGGTCTGGACCATGTTGACCCTCCGCGAGCGCAGCTCCCTCACGCAGTTGTAAATGTCCACCACTCCTTCCCTTTCCGCCATGTCCAGCATGATGTCGATGACAATGAAGCAGCCCGTCCGACCGGCCCCAGCGCTGCAGACACACATCAGAGTCCATGTTGACGGAACCATTTCGAGTTTTGAGACACACGACGTGTCTGAGCAGACTCTTTCAAGAAGGCTACCGCAACTAACCAACCTCAGCAAACAACAGGTTATAACACAAACAGTGTTCCAGACACTGAGCTAAAATCTGTTGTGATAAAAAATCTCTAACTGATTATATGACATTCTTGTTTAAAACTTTATTAGGATGGTGGATGATTTGCATTCTTTTATGAAATGCTAATTAAATGTTATTTACAAGTTAGAGCTAAAGGTTTGTGCTGAATGTAATTGACAAGAATTGTTATTTTTTTACTAAACACCAATAATTTTTAAGACACAGCTAACTCAGTAGATTTTTTTTGTGATGATAAGAAATATCAGTCAAAAATTTCCCAACTAATCAGGTTATTTGAAAAAAAAAAAAAAAACAGAAATGTGACTCAGAAAACAAATAGCATCACTGATGGGGAGTTATTCATAACTTTCACTTTTTTGAGCAAAACTATGATGATAGAAAAGTAAAACTATTTGAGAACAACATTTCTCAAAGTATTGCTCTAAAAACTGGTATTATCATCCATGTCACTAAATGTCAATAAGAAGTGGAGAGAATTCACAGAAAAAAAATCTCTATACACCTGGGACACAGCTGAAAACCAATACTGAGTAGTTCTGATCTGCAGAGCCTCAGGCAACACCAACTCAAAAAAATAAATAAATAAAACTGGCGAGCTTTTATTGTGGAAATCACTGTCGGGGCTCAGGAACACCTTAGAAAATCTCTGCTAGTGAGCAGACTTTGGTGCTGCATTCACAAACGCAAGTTAAAAAAGTCCATCAGGTAAAGAAAAAAAATAAAAGCACATAAAATCCTAGTCAGAACTAGATTATATTTATTTATTTTAAATCATGAATGTTGAATCTTCCAGGCGAAGAGGCAATAAAACATTCAGCTTAATAAAAAAAGTAACAGAACACAAGATGCAGCAATGTTGTGTCCTGTTGTATCTGGGGGCGGAGCTAGGATTTTTTGCAAGCACAGGGGTGGCCAAGGTGTTTTTATTAGAAAAACACTGTGGATTTGAAAATTCAAGGTGGCTGTCACAGCTAATGCCAAATAGCTTTAACTCAAATGTTTAAAGGAAAATTGAGCTATAGTTTTGTGTGATTATGGCTAGCTATAATTTATTATTCATACATTTTTAAACATGAAAATGTATACAATTATATAATTTAAATAAAAAATATATGCACAATAGGTTGCCTTCTGGCCAAGCCTCCCTTGCAAAAGAGTTCTGCGATCTCAATGAGATTTGCCTGGTTAAATAACAGTAAAATAAATAAATAAACAAATTTATATAGCAGAGTAGTATCAGAAAACAAACTTTACCAAAATCTAAATGGAATTACAAAATCTCAGATCATCACCCACTTTTCAGTTATTTGAGGGTGGCCAATTAAGTGCCAGAGAGGGCACGTGCCACCCCGGCCACCCCTCTGGCTCCGCCCCTGATTGGATCATTTTTAAAATATGACCCCAAAGTATAAACCTACATAATTAGTACAAATGTGTGGCCTCAAAGATGGAATATATACATTCCTTTAGCTTTTATTTTTTTGAGTTAGTCCAGAGGTTAAAGTGTAATTTAACTCATTTGTTTCATGATAAATTAACAGCTTCAAAATCCATGGTCTTGTTATGTAATGAATCAGGGTCGGCCCATAGCATAAGCAGCATAGGAAAATGCTAAGGGCACAGTCCATCTAAAGTGCGACACAAATAGTGGACCAAAAAACGTATTTTATAACTTTTATTAGAGTATAGTGGACAATAATCAATGGTTAATCAAGTTTATGAAGGTAACTTGTTTTGTGGGTTTCACAGCTGCTTTGTTTCAAGGGTGTCCTATATTAACTATTTTAATTAAACAATCTGGTTTCTAAAGATAAAAAATAATATCAAAGACAAAACTATTTAATTGGGTATGTGACTGTATGTAAACTGGCAGTGATGGCAGTCTGTGCAAACTTTGCATAGATTTGGATTTAAGTATTCAAGTTGTGAAAACTGTAAAAATAATAGAAAGACAAACTGAAACAAACGCGTTTGCAGACAGGGAACTGTGTTTCCATGCACACCAACCTGCAGTGAACCACCATGGGCCCGGCATTGTTCAGAGTCTTGGTCTTGACCCTCCTAATGAACCCCAGCAGGCCCGTGGCGTGATAGGGCACGCCGTGGTCCGGCCAGCCGGTGAAGTGAAACTGTCGAATCTCTCGGATCTCGTGGGCTCCTCTCTGTGGATCGGAGTCGGGTTAAACACACAGAGCACGAGGGGGAAGACAAACGAGCACCGTGAGAGGTCGTTCTAAAACAAATACGGAGAATTAAACGCAAACACAAAACTTCATGGACACAGTGAGGAACAGGATTTCCATTATCTGACTGTAAACATCACGTTCAGGAGGAGCTCTGTTTGTGATTTCAGCTTCTTGTATTCAACACACGAGAACTTTAGGCACGTCAACATTTTAATTTGTTAAATTTATGACTGGAAATCTGGATTAAATTAAGCCACAGTGAGCTGCAACTCTTCAAAGTGTGACTGCAGCCCAATTGGATGTTTGTTCCTTAGCATTAATTAACCAACACATGAAGGGAGAGCTGATGATTAGAGGGAGCTCCCGCTGGGAAACCTTTCATTCCTAAGAAAAAGTGTTGGGGGATTGTGTGCTAATGTGAAACACTTCAAGTTCCTTCATCAGCCTATATCCACGCAAACACTCACTTTTAAACTTAGAATTCTAACGTCTCCTTAGAGAAAAAAAAAAAAAACGTTCATAGCAGTTTTACAGATGTGCAGCTAAAATTTGGCTCGGTAGTAGCCGAAAAGTCCCTCCCAACAAATACTTCAAGTGCACCTCATTTATCTTTCCTTCAAACTTTAGCTTTAATTAATCTGTTAGCAAAATATCTACAACCCACTGAATGAATTTTAATGGAAAATAATCTACAACGGATTTCCTTTTAGAGTCAATTAAATTCAACATAAGCTAACACAGAAATGGTAATTAGGACCCTCACAACTGAAGTGGGGGTCATATTGTTTTTGTACAGTATTTATTTATTTATTTATTTATTTATTTATTTATTTATTTATTTTCAGTGAATTTTGGTCAACCGTAGTACAGAAACGGCAACATCATGCTGATCAATATGAAATTTGACAGGAATGTTGAGGGGTCCAGTTTTACGATAGACCCCATATTTGAGGAGGGGGCTCCATCTGAAAAGGGGGTTTCTGGACATAGAAAAACTGTTCAACATGGGAGCTTCAGATTTTTTTTGTTGCTCAGCTCTGGGGTGTCCAGGGCCCACCAATCGGGTCCACCAATGAACACCCCCCCACACACTCCCCCCACTCCTTCGGACCCCCACCCACCTGAAAAGGGGGTGTCTGGACTAACAAAATTGCTTATAACTCAAAAACTACTGAACATATGAGCTTCAGGATTTATTATTATTATTATTATTTTGCTTTCCATCAGGCCTACCAATGAGCCCCCCAGATCCCCACCCAAAACAATAAATCTGTTCCGGTGAGTTCTGAGATCCGCTATGCGGTATCTAGTTTTTAAAGATATTGAGTTAAAATTTGGCGTGCTAGTAGCTAAGACTCATTCACGAGACTTTGCTTGACGTTATTTTCAAGGTTTGACCAAAACAGCTACATTTTTGTTATTTTTCTATCTTTAAATGAGTTAAAAACTGTGGTATGCAAGATGTCAGGTGATATTTTAATTTTCTAATGATTCATCTTGTAAAATGCGTGGCAGAATGGAAGGAAAGCAAAACATTTCAGGTCTCTTACGCAACAAGTTTAAAACAAAGATCTTAGTCGTATATATGCAAATTATTGAAATAAGAAGTATCGAGTGGCGAATCATTCCCATGGTTCTGAAAAACATTTAAAAATGCTTTTAGGTAAGAAGCAAAAGGAACTTCACAAACTATTCCTCTTTAAAGCACTGCAGCGGTTCTCAAGCTGCTTTTGACTTTATAACCAACGTGTTTTATTCAGCTCGGGTGCTTGATGACGTGAGATGAAAAACAGAAAAAGTTGTACCTTCTCCACAGCAAAGGTTCTGATGACGTACTCGGACAGGAGCTCGGTCTCTATCAGCGTCACCTTGATGTCTCTGTAGATCTCCGTGTCATCGGGCCAGTACTTGCAGCACTTCACCTGCGCGTCAGAACACCAACTGTTTTACATCACATCCTAATTTTCATTTTCGTCCACATTGCTTTTTTTTTTTTCAGAGGGCCCGTCATTTTCTCCCCAATAAGGACTGTCACATAACATTACCTCCAATTTGCCACCTGATACTTGGGTTTGTGAACCGTTTCTTTCAAATCAAAATGAGATTTGCTTCGTATTAGTTTTCGTCCCCCGGTCGAGAATCCACTGCAAATGGGTATCTCATGTATTGACGGAAGGGGTTCATTCGCACTTTATTGCTTTTTCATTCTCACTTCGACGATGTGAAAATGAGTCTAAAGGTGGATTGTGCACAAAGCTGAAAAGCAGCTTCCAAGGGGAGGTTTTATTCTATTCCTCCACCTTAAAATTTTGCCTTATAGTGACGATAAAGACGACAAAAAAAAAGTGTGCAAGCATCAAATGAGGGGGATATAATTACGATCCTGTAATGACATGAACTAATAAACTCTCAGCTGTTTAAAATAGATTTCCCTACTGAAATCTAAAACATCTCACTGGAAATAGTTCTTGTATTAGGTATCATAAGAGTGCAAAATTACCCCCCATGCCACCCCACCCCACCCCGTTCAGTTAAACTGTTGATACTAGTGGAGCAGGATGATCGGTTCTGATGAGGGATAAATGGGACAAGTAGATTTAATTTTTCTCCGTAGCATCTCTGGGCTGATTACAAATGAAATGAGGTTTTGGTTTGTGGAACGACACAGAAAAAACGGGTGGGGGGAATTTTCAGGTCCCTCTCCCTGACACCCCCTCATGAGTAATCCCCGATGACAATCACAAATCCATCGTCCCGCTTCCAGCCAGATTGAATTAGCCAAAAGCCATTACCTTATTAGATCTCTCCGAATCAGACGCCTGGTTTTGGAGGGATCTTAGCCTTCGGGTTTAAACACGCCGCACAGATGTTCGTTTGTGGAAACACTTACGGGCACGGGTGGCGGAAAGGACGCAGCTCTCGAACTCATTTGCTAATGTGGATAAAGTATGCAGAGGGTGGGGTGGGGGGTCACCTCGTCGCACACATCGGCACGCCAACTTCCCCAAAATCAAACCTCTTGTACATCAAAGTGCACCCTGTGTGTGTGTGAGCGCCGAGACAGAGGCTCTGTGTGTTTGTGTGTGTGTGTGTGTGCCAGGATTTCCCAGAGTGCATCAGCAACTGTGCCGAGCAGATGGCCCGCTGTGATACGGCGAGGTGATTTTATGGGGCCCTCTGTGGTCTCTGTGACCAACTGCGCCTACCGCGCCGCCATTGGATAAGGATCATATAACAGACGGTTTGGGGGCCGGCGCCCGCAGAGGACGCCGCCGCAGCTAAGCAGGTGTGGAGAAGGTGTGGGGCGGGGCCGGGCGGTCTGGGCTCAGCTACTGTAGGAAGGCTTAATGAGGCACCTGGAGATGGGCCCATGAATCATTATCAGCTCTGCTACATTTAAGCCCCACCAAAAAGAAAATGCACCTCAGCAAAATCAAGGTGTGCATAAGTTTAGATTTTTTTTCTTTTAAAGTAAAAAAGTGTCAAATTTCCTATAGAGAAAATTCCCCTGGCTGTCAAAGCATAAAATCATACATTAAATCCTTCATTTTTTTCTTGATCATAATTTAACAAGGAGGAGGCAAGTCGTGAATTAAGTGGAACAAATTAGAACAAAGGAAGTCTCTGACTTAACCATTGCAGCTACCATTAGTTTAACAATTATAAAGGTATTTTGGACTCAATAATGGTTCCCTTTTGTCCAATGAGGAGAGCATTAAGAGGTGTTTCTGTTCCGAGGAGCCCGACAAGAGCTGGCAGCTTCAGCAGACTCTAATCTTCTGTTATAGAGCCACTCGGATGAAACAGTAGTCAGTCGCCTGGATGCCTCTCTGGTAATGAAGGCCATCAATCAGTTTCTTTTCACTTCTCACTGATCAGATAGATGGAAAAAGAGCTGGCGGCGCACGAGTCCCATACCTCACTAAGTCAGAATACACCCACACACACGCGGCAACATCTGGACACTGATGTTCAAAGACATTAAAAACATAAAGGATGTCTCAGCTTTGCCTCCAGATACAATCAAGCTGTCAGTCGACTGAGAACCGGCTAATCTCGCGGTTCGAGTGACGGTAATTAATACTCACCCTGCCCACTTCTACCAGGTTGGTCACCATGACAATAGCGGCTGTGTTCTCCTGCCACACCATCCTCCAGAAATCGAAGACGGTCTCTTGCATGGGCCCTAAAATAAATAATAAAGAAAACGGGGAGAAAAGGTTATGCTAATTGTTTTCTGAATCAACTTAATAAAAACAACACTTCGGCCTTAACTGCAGGCGTCAACCTTGTCAGTGTGTTAGCAAAATGTCTCCTGAACTATTGGATGGTATTTGGTAAAAGTTACTATTGGTGCTAGAAGTGCAATGGTTCACGATTCGGTTCAACACTTTAGTCTCACTGTTCAATACAATCTTTTTAATACAAAAAAAGAGAAATATCCAAGTCCTTCTGAACTTGTAATTTATTGAAATTAATTCTGAACATTTGTTTAACCTCAAAGGTACAGTTTTTAAATTAAATGTCACCAAAATAGCAAGTTTCTCAGTGGATCTGTGTTCGACAATGCAGCCTAGTTAGAGTAGTCGAACACAGATTCACTGATCCTTCAACACAGAGCATCTACAGAAGACAAATTGATAAAACAAAATTTAAAAAATCTGTATTGTTCCAAATATAGTGTGTACTGAACCAAGAGCACTGTAATGAACGGTTCAATACAGATACCTAACAGATGCACATAAAACTGATTTTTATTGAGATCAAGACGGCCGTCACAAAAAAAAAGTAATAACTCAGTCCTTTTTGCAGATATTAAGCTAAATTTGGTGTGGCAGTAGCTGAGAGTCATCCTCAGCATATTATCTAAGGGCTGACACATATCACTAACTGCACTGTACTTTATAAATTCATTTATGACGTTATTTACAAGGTTTGAAATCATGAAAAGTGGACGATTTGCACTCCTCCTATGAGAGCTAGATCTCTAAATTAGATGGGAATAAGGCTAAAGCCAATGTGTGTGTGTGTGTGTGTGTGTGTGTGTGTGTGTGTGTGTGTGTCTGTGTCCACATGACAAAACCCAAAGTATTTACCACCACATGCCATCCGCTCAGCACCAACCCTTCCTCTGAACTAGACCCAAAACCTGCGTGCGGGGATCCGTTCAAATACCTCGAACATCCAAAACTTCACAGAGCAATAATTGTGGGTTTGAAATTAATTATTAATCTGGTTCATTTTAATCATGTGCCACGTGAAAGAGAATTACTCCAGACAATTTAATTAGTGAATGCAAATCTCCACAACAGTGCGTTCTCCTGCGGTCGGCCCAAATTACCTGGAGACACAACGGATTGTTCAAGCTCGTACAGAGACGGGATAAAACAAGACATTCACCAAGAGTTCATGTTGTTTATTTAATATGTAAAAAATTAACCACAGTTCCTTAAAAGCTGCTTTAATTTAGGTCATATACTAAAATTTTACAACTTCTTTTTTCATGCCTTTATTTGGCATCCCGGTTTTATAAACTGTTCTGCTGTGTCCGGTAACAGCTGGAAAACAAAGATATTTATCTGCTCTAGGTGCTGTAGGCCTTCAGAAGTCTGAATTTTTTTGAAAGTGCCCCTGAAAAGTGCATTAGTGGCTATCAACACAATCTGGGTTATTGTGTTACACAAGGAGAATTTAGTGAGTCCAATAATGGAGTTCAGATAAAACCACCAGATGTGATGACCTGTCTGAAATACAGTTACTTTTTACTCGCCACAATGACAGGTGGGACATCGCACAGCAATCACTAGAGTCAGCAGCACTTTAACAGCCCGGCATGAAAAGTGCGTAAAGAAAATGATGGATGGATGTGTTAGCAAAATATCTTCTGAACCATTGACCAAGTAATCACCAAATATTACCAATGTTCTGGTCCTCATCCTTAGTGGTGCTCATGATTTTTGAAGATATTTTGCTAACAGACAAACAGCTTTGACTCTGACAGTCAATGCTAGAGTTCTAATGACTCAACTACCACATCAAATTTTGACTCAATATTTGTAAAGTTGACTAAAGCTATCTCAGTGTTAAGATATGTCTCTCTTAACTTGGTGTTGCTGAGGTGCAAAACATGCAACGTAAACAAAGGGATAAGAAACAAAAAATGTAAAAGAAAAATATGAAATATAGAAAAATAAAACGTCAAGAAAACATAAATATCAGAACGTAGACTAATTAAGGTAATGTGAACTAACCAGGGGCAAAACTTGACTTTGTTTCATGGGGTAGAGAGGTAGCTAAAGAAAAGCTGTCAGGATTTGAAATTTCAAGATGGCCGCCACTCCTAATTCCAAATGGCTTCCATTCAGCTGTTTTAAGAAATATTGAGCTGAAATTCTTTGATCATAACATGTTTAATGCTAGTCACAACTTATTATTCAGCCATTTTTAGACATACAAAGCTGAAGGTGAACGTAGAAGTAGCTGAAAACACTCTTTATAACTTCTAAAGGGCTCGACACGCGGGGAGCGACAAACTACAGCGATTAACTGCTGTCATCGCAGCCAGGGTGAAAACCGACACACGGGATGCGATAGCGATCACAGCGTTGCGAATCGCGCTCTCAGATCGCTTGTCTTCACAATTTTGATTGGTTCTTGACTCTGAAGGCGGGTGTGCATTACGGACGTGTAAACTAAACAAATCTTGCGATGCTAATGATATTGAAAAACAAACACACATCAAGATACAGTTTTTATGAGGAAAAACTTACCATAAACTTCACCCTGGTGCCAATTAATTCCCACAAGCTTTTTAGTAATCACTTGGTGAAAGTGTTAGCTAACTGCAGCGTGTAGCATACTCTCCTCTCATTGGTCAGTCAATGAAACCCTCGCTGATTGGTTGTACGCTAAGCGACAGATTGGTTGTACGCTAAGCGACAGTGACAAAAGTTGAACATTTTTCAACTTTCACATGTCGCATCGCAAGCTCGCGTGTGCACGTCTACGTGTACGAGAGCAAAATTTCACATGCACTATTTTCGCCGGTCGCTTAGCTGGAGGAGGGCAAGCGATTGTCGCCTCACCGCACAGGCTCCATAGGAAATGAATGGAGAGCGAGCGACGTCGCCTCCCGTGTGTCGAGTCCTTAAATGCTAATCATAAATTCAAAATGGCCACCACAGCTAGCTTTAAAATCTATAATTCAGCCATTTTAAGACTTAAGTTAAAACTTGTGGAGTAGCGTAGAATGATCACGCTAATTACGATGGTAATCCCAAATTAAGCTAACCACTGATGTCAAAGCTAACGTCACAAAGGGGTTATAATTAAGAAATTTTTAAACATCCACATCTAAAAACAATTACATAGTGTCAGAGAACAATCTCAAAATCTAAATGCAAATACAAAATCCATGACCCACTGATCATTTGTTTTGGGGTGCCATCTGGGGTGGCCCATTAGATGCCAGAGGTGGCTCTTGCCACCCCAGCCACCCCTCTGGCTCCGCCCCTGAACCAACTGATATTTGAGCTATGGACTACGTTGAGGCTATGGATTACATTTTTTGCAGTTGTAGTGCAAAAAACAATAAATAATTCAGTAAGTGTTATTGCAAATGAGAAGCATTTGTGAGCATTACTGTGTTAGTTTAAGGTATAAAGGGGTAAGTTGAAGGACCCTGGACTCAATGAGTCCAGTAGCAGAGGGAAATAAACGTTCATGTGGCAAGAGGTTTTGGTCCTAATGGACCCGATTTTTGAGAGTTGTAATAAAACCTATCCAGTGGTTCAATAGATATTTTTCATTATCACGTCTTTATGAAATAAAAATATAAAAACAGACAATCCCATCGTTTTTGTTTTTCAGTATTTGCTGCCATGTCTAATTTAAGCTGACGTGTTTTTGCAACCCTTTGTTACCAGTTACAGTACATTTTTTTCTTTAGTTTCTAGATCGTAGAGTCTTGTTTAATGAGCTTTATGGCGTACCCAAATAAGCCTTTATTGTCTAACCTCTACATGGACAGCAAGTTTAAACATTATAAAAACACTGTTGTGGATATTACAAGTAAAAACTTATAAATGATTAGTATCAAACAGCCTTTTCTAAAATCATATTTTAGCTGCCAGCGTTGGAATGCCTCTCTCTTAGGAAAACAAGAACAGTTGCATAAAAATAATAGATTCATATTTTGTTTATCTGAAAGGCAGACATGTTCTCACATTCAAATTGGACAACTAAAAAACTGGACCAAATCTACATGAGAACTTCCATTTGTTATTCCCTCCGTCCTTCTGCTTTGCATGTGATGGCATGCCTTAAATTTAACTGGAGGACCTCATGTCTCCAATACAGTCACTTCCAGTTTATCCGATAGCTACCCAACCTGATTGAACCGCCCACTCTGCTGCCACCCACGCTCGTCCCCGAGGGAGGATACACACTGCCGAGAAGTTTGAGAGAGGGAGACTGAGAAGCAGGACAGCTTGTGTGTAGGACTTCACTAACACAATAACACTTGGCATTATATTGTAAATCGACCGATGGGAGGCTCCTGCCAGGCTTCCTTCAGCCAATTTAGGCTCCTATAAGCATGCTGAGACGGAGAACTGATATGGGTACGTTGCTGGGTAGAAGTGAACTTGATGACACTCATGAGGAAGCAAGTATTGCTCTAGATGAGTAGGTGATTTTGAACAAAGGGATCTCGCAAACTGCTTTAGATTTAAAGTGAGCACTTTCAGGGATGTAGCTTAGGACAGCTCATTGTTTTTGATAGTTTATCACCTCAAAAAGTATCAGTTTATATTAGTTTAAAATCTGTTGTCCTAAATGGACATTTTTCATTGAAGAGCTTTGGCAAACTTTACATTTTAGTAAATTGGTTGATTAGAAACAGGTAAAAATATATCTAGAAAACATTTAATAGCTATACTGGAAGAAACTCCACAGTAAAACTTGTTTATTTCTGGAATACATTCACATTTCATCCTACTGATATGAATATTCTCAACATCTGTTTGATAAAAGAGCCATTGTGTCACCTTGAAATACTTTGAGGCTTCTAAAAAATAGGTAGGTTTTATTTTAATCTAGTTTTTGCTGTTTTTTATGTAAGTATTGAACTATTTCATCAACATGAAATATCAAGAGGCTAAAGCAGAAATCAGATGTTTTTTGTCA